GCTGTGCTGAGCTGAGCCAGAGCTGTGACAGCCCCTCAGGGCCCTGGCACCGGCCCTGAGCCTCCTTTGGTGGTGCTCAGTTTTCTCCAGGTCCCTGCACAACGCCGCTGCCTCACGYGTGGTTCACACCCAGCCCCAGCCCCAGGTCGGGGACGAGAAACCCCCGGAGCCGCTGTGGTCGGAGCCCCTGGAGGAGACCCCCGAGACCCTGCATGAGGCTTTCAATGGCACGTTCCCGACACAGCCAGACAAAGTGTCCCTCCAGAATGACACRCGGGCACTGGGCTCTGAAGGGCTGAGCCGTGAGGACGGGCACCGGAGCGAGGCTGTGCCAGGGGATGGCACCGTGTCACACCCRGGGCTGGCATCCCTGGCGTGGTCAGAGGCCGGGCACGGCCGGCCCGCGGTGCTGGAGCAGGTGGAGGAGCTTTAGGCAGTACCAGGGACCACGGGGGTGCAATGGGGTGACAGCACCTCATCCCCTACAGGACAAGCCCTCAGGGGGACCCCTCCAGGATCTGCCTCCAGATGCTGGACCCACTTGGCTTTGCTTGGATCTGTGAACTGGGAAGAGGAGACCAGTTCCCACTGGCCTTACTGGGAGGGAAGGGRCTGCTCCTGCCCCCCTGGCACAGCKGGAGTTGTGGAAGGGACATGGGGTCACTCAGGATGGGCTGAGGAAGCAGGAGGGGCCCTGGGCTGGTTGGCTGCTGATGGTGCAACTGGTTGGTTTTGTTCTTGGTTTTGTTTTGGTTCTTGGTTTTTTAATTTTATTTTCATCTCTAAATATAAGATATTTTGGAAAAAAAAAAAACCCAAACACCTGCTGGAGTTTAAGAGGGGTTGATCCACAAGGTTTCAAGGAGCCCTGGGCCAGGGGGACCTCARGTTGCCATGAATGGCCCAGGAAAGGAGGGACACACAGCCATRCCCAACCTGGAGCTGGGCATGGAGCAGGAGCAGTGGGGTCAGGGCACATTCCCACAGCTCCCAGCCCTGAGTCCAGCTGGGATCCAGCCAGCACCAGTCCCCTTCCATGMCCAAGTGATGTGGAATAATGGGATCATGGAAAGGTTTGGGTTCGAAGTGACCTTAAATCCCATCCAGTGCCATCCCTGCCATGGCAGGGACACCTCCCACCATCCCAGCTTGCTCCAAACCCCATCCAACGTGGCTTCGAACACATCAAGGGATGGGGCAGCCACAGCTTCTCTGGGAATYCCATTCCAGGGCCTCACCACCCTCACAGGGAGGAATTTCCCTGCACAAGGCCCTTCCCAGGCCCGTGGGTGCAGCTGCTCCGCGAGCCACAATTCAAGTGCGTTTAATACTGACATAAAAAAAGGGACAATATTTAAGGACATAAAAAAAAGTCGGTAGGAAAAGCAGCCCAGGTGAGACAGGGACAGTCCAGGTCAGGTGAGGAGAGGCTCCACCTTCATCTTCTTCACCGGTGCTGGCCCCGTGTCCGGGCTGGGACACTCCTGCTTGAGTCCCCTCCCGGGACACGGYGTTTCTGTGCCGTTGTGGTGGGAGAGTTGCTCCTCCTTCTCCTCCTTCAGCCGTCCCTGCAGCTGCTCAGCCCTGGCTGGCTCAGCGCTCTCCACCACCACCGGCCCCGTCCACTCGGGCACCTCCAGCCCCAGCAGCTTCATCAGCTTGGTCATCACGTCATCGACGTAGGCGTGGATGCGCAGGTCGGCCTGGCGGTCCTGGGACAGCAGGGACATGGCTCAGGGGACAAACTGTCCCTCCTGGGGACAGGGCCATGTCCCCAGCGTGGCATGAACTGACCCCGGGGCTCTGCCGGGTGTGGGCTGGAGCCACACCTGGGGATGGAGATGTGAGCACAGAGCCAGGGACTGGGTGTGACAGGGACAAGGGAGCTCTGGTGACATCCCAGGAACTCTCAATTCTGGCTACTAAACACTTTGGGCAATTGGGGCACCAACATCTGAGCTTTAAGGTCCCTTCCAACCCAACCCATTSCACGATTCCAGTATTTACCTGCAATCCCTACGTGTTTAGCAGGAGTTGCAGGTTTAAACCCTCCAACCCGGGACTCCCAGCCTGTTTGCCTCCTAAGAGAGGCCACCTGGGAGGGGACAACGTGCAGGGACAAACTTGGGATGGGCCTGGAACAGGGGACAGGAGGGGAAAGGAGCAGGGCGGAGCTGTAGGACGCTCACTCACGTGTTTGGTTGCTTGGAGGTTGACGATGACCAACTTCCCTCCTCTCTTCTTGGTGATCAGCGGGAGGTTCCCGCTGGGTTTGATCTGCAGAGAGGTCCCCAGGGTGACAGAGAGATCRGCTTTCCTACAGGGAAAATCCAGAATTGGGGTGATTTGGGTGGGARGGGAACTGAAAGCCCATCTTGTCCCACCCCAAGCCCAGGGCAGGGTGTCAGCACCTGCAGGCTTCATCTGCCAGYGTCAGGTCACGGTCAGGCAGGGAATCTTCCCAATCCAG